ACCCCCACCAAACAAACACACAAGAAATAAAAAACTGACAAAAAGAGGTAGAAATATGAACATCTAACCAAATTCAAGGTGAACAAAAACCAAATAAAAAGATCTAGTATTAAAAAGTTCTGAACCTTCTAGTGAATCCTCTAGGCATAAAACCCAAATGTAATTAACCAACATGTTTTCCATTCGTCAACCAACCTTCTTTTTTTTCCTTGAGGAAGTTGACTTTTGTATTCATTGTATAAAGAATTACAAACAACAATTAGGCAAGCCCCAAAACAGGGTGCCCTATAAAGGTACCCTTGAGGGTCCGAGAATTTCTGCAATAGATACCAAAATGAGGTGAGAGCTAAGGGGGGTCCAAATTCTCCTAGGGATAGTTGAGACTAGCTCCCTCCCTTGCTAGTGCATCTGCCGCAGCGTTACAATTCCTATGAGTGTGTCTCCAAGAGAGTTGGATACTGCTGCAAATGCGGCCAATTTCGACAAAAATGTTATCTAGTCTCCAAAAAAGGCGTCCAATGCCTGAGGGGCCTTGGTTGCCTAGAGAGCAGCCATCAGATGGCCCCAGGTTCCAGCATAAAGAAGCTTGAGGAATCCTGTGGATACTTAGGTGCAACAACGCTTGCCAATTTTGGTGAAGATCTGAAAAGGAGAAGATGGAGAAGCGTGGGACGTTTAGGGCCCAAAATGTGACAAGTGACCTACTTTTTTCAAAAAGAGCTGAGGTAGAGGCTCTCTCCTAGCTAAAGATCCTATTATTCCTCTCAATTCAAGTGATCCAAAGAGTGGCTGAGATGGAAGCTCTCCGTACTAAAGCACAAGGAGAAGAGGTGAGGGATCGATTGGGGAATGACCCACAGCCACTTCGATAGAAGAAGAAGGTCGGTCAGAAGGGCCAAGGCAACCTCGCAATTTAGTAATAGATGTTGATTGATTAAATCTTCTGAGTCCTTTGAGTAGAGAATTGGCCTTAGCGAATGTGGAGTCCTCGACTCCGATAGGCAGGGCATAAGAAAGGAGGATCGGGGCTTCAAAATTCTTAAAAAGGCGTCCAATGCCTGAGGAGCCCTGGTTACCTAGAGAACAGCCATCAGATGGCCCCGGGTTCCGGTGTCCTTCATACAGAAGCTTGAATAATCATGTGGGTACTTAGGTGCAACAATGCTTGCCAATTTTGGTGAAGATCTGAAAAGGAGAAGATGGAGAAGCTTGGGAGGTTTAGGGCCCAGAATGTGACAAGTGATCTCCTTTTTTCAATAAGAGCTGAGGTAGAGGCTCTCCTCACAAAAGATCTTATTATTCCTCTCAATTCGAGTGGTCCAAAGAGTGGCTGAGATGGAAGCTCTCCATAGAAGATTTCTATAATTTTTCCAAGAGTGGCTGAGATGGAAGCTCTCCATGCAAACCTTTATCTCTCTAACAATTTACAAATGTACTTCTCTTTCTCTCACTAAAAAACAGTGCACAACATAAGTCAAAGACAGAGCTTTGTCAAAGGATGCCAGTATGAAGTAAAGTGGGGCATGGAAGGAAACATAAGTCTAATCCAGTACCTCAAAAGGGATAAGATATCCTTCAATCTTGGCAATGCAATCATTTATAGGCAGCAAAACTTCCAAAATATGGGCATTGGATAGTGCTTTCGATGAAGTAAATCTGACTGGCACTTCTACAGTACGGTGGAGATATACACCTAATTGCTAGCCAAATGGTACATCACCATAGGATATTACACTGAATTGCTCAATGGGGATCTCAATAAATGAGCCATAGCTTTCATGGACCTCTTTTACGAAGTAAAGGAATTTTCTGCTATATACACCAGAGGATTTTTCATTTTCAGGAACGACTTCAGGTCTTCTTTGTCTCAGTTTGTCCAGACGTTGCCCATACATGTTGTGTAAAGTTTTGAAAGTATCTCTGGTTTGCTTCTTTTCAAGAATGTCATTTCTTTTGAGGTAAACCATGGACAGTGCACGTAAATTCCCAAACCAAAGGAATATGTAAAATTGGTGAACTTGGATTTTTAGAGCATAATGCAGACATAGCTTTATAACCCAACAGAAAGAAATGCCCACTCCTGGCAAAATCTATACTCTCAGTGGCATCGATAGTTGCCAAAGGACTCAGGAACCAATGAGGAAGTGGCAATATCTGGTTTGCCCGCTCTATTTGCAATGTGATATACTACATATTTCCAACTGAACTACTTGGGGCATCAACAGTTTCTTCATAAATTGCATCCAAATTACCAAACTTTAGTTTGTTTTTGTCTAGGGTTGCTTTTGTTGTCCACTGCATTGTGTGCTCTATTTATGTAATTTTGTGATGGATTTCTTTTATCCTAATTCTTGTGGTTGTATTTATCTAAAAGCAATTTTCTGATGGATATCTTTCATTCTAATTCTTGTGGTTGTATTTATCTAAAAGCAAAAACTTTATTAAGAACCTGAAAGAAATGAAAACAAGAAGTCAAGCAACTCAAATTCCTCTCGCATCAGATACACCTTTATTAAAGAGTGAGCCCAAGGAAGTGGTGGAGGTCAGGATGCTAGCATATGTCCTTTTTCTCCTTTCTTTTCTGGCCAGGCATTTTTCCCTCTCTCATGTAGGAAAAGGAAAGCAAACCCCTTATCCTCTTAATTGATAATCAGCTAGAAAGAGAACTACCGCATCTTTTCCTTTTCCACTTGTTCCTTCTTCCATGTGTTTTAAAACAATCTCTTTATGTTCTCTCTCTCTCTCTGAAAGAATGCAAATCTTTCTCTCTCTAACTGGTACAAATGTACTTTTCTTTCTCTCAACAATTGCAGCAGCTGCCATTCCATTTATTTATTATTATAGTGGTCAAGAAACAAACCACAATCATTTTCTCATGACACATAAAACCTAAAGCAGTGAAGAAGTTTCTCAAAATCCCAATCCTCAAACTAATCTCCCACTTTACACAGGGACACAGAGCGGAAAAAAAAGTGAACGTGATTGGTTAAGCCCCCCCTTTCTTTTTTTTTAATATAAACGGAGGTTGTGGACGAACTGGCTGGGTTGGTTGGTGCGGCTCGGCTGATCTCGGCTCGGCTCTGCTGATATCGGCTCGGCTCAGCTGGTATCGGCTCGGCTCGGCTTATATTATTCGGCTCCGCTCAGTTCCATTATAAATTTACGTGAAGTTAGCTAAGCCGAGCCGAATCTAGCTGAGCTGAGCCGAGCTGAGCCTAATATAGCTGAGCCGAGCCGAATGTAGCCGAGCTGAGCTGATTTTAGCCGAGCCGAGCCGATATTCATCATCTTTGGCTGAATCGAGCCGATACAAGCTGAGTATAACTAACACCACAACATTTAAGCCCAAACTAGCCCTATAAAAACCAAAAAACATTTCTAAAAATTCGGTAAAAATTAGAAGAAAATATATATTAATATTTAGCATCAAAAGCTATCAATAAAAATATAGAAAACTATTTAGATATCATAAAAATAAATTTTCTTAGATAAGCTCAAATTTTTAACTCTTTTCTTGGCTCTTTCTCTCTCTAAAACCCTCACTTTCAATCTCCTCCTCGTGGATGCTCTATTATTGATCATAAAAAATTTAAAACCCCAATTTCCTTAACCCCGAACCTACAAGGTCAAAACATGAACCCCCAAGCTCGCAAGTCGTCGTTCAAAACACGAGTTTTTAAAAAACCTCTGAGTTTTGAAATCCTTTAAGAAGTCTGAATTTTTTCAATAGATCTTCAAAAAATCATATTTTTTAACAAAAACAATATATATATGTACTTCATGTTTTTATGAAAAACACTTTGGTAATATGATCTCTTGAATATTTAGACAAAATATGAAAATTTGAAAAATACTTCGCTAATATGAAAATTTGAAAATTTGAAAAACACTTCGGTAATAGGAAAAACACAAAATTTGAAAATTCCTATGTATATTTAGACAAAATAAGAGACACCTATGCCCAAGTCAAATTGTAAATTGATAACAACAGACCTTATTGATCACGCAAGGAGCAAATGTTCTCGGGATTGTATACAAAGAAACCATTTACTTTTTCTATAAGGGGGTCACAATTATTTCTACTCATTGGATGTCAAATTTGTTGCCTTAGGGTGCGTCACAAAGTCCGAAATTTTTTTTTTTAAACTTTGAGTTTATCTAATGACACTCCTACAACTACTCAATTTGTAAGCTAAGGGACATGACTGATTGTGACTTCCTTGTACAAAAAGTAAACGGTCTCTTTGTATACTTTTTTATTTTTTTATATATACTTAACTAAAAAACCCAGAAGCAAATGTTCTACATGTAAATGTGCTTAATACTTCTTTCATGGGTAGCAATAGTTATTTTTCATTTTTTTTGTCCAAATGTGCACGTGTGCGTCGGCGTGTAGGGGGAGAGAGAGAAAGAGAGAGAGAGAGGCTTGCACAATTACAAAGTAATATCAAGAATATGGATATGGTTTGCTCTAGCTGCTGGGGATAAGGAGAGGGGAATAATGGAATAAAAGTGCTGAAAAAAATATAGATATGAGAGAATGTACAATGAATGGGTGCTTTAATCACATACATAGTAGGAGGGAAAGAATAAGAGGAAATAGTGATAAATGGTTACAAGATTATTTATAACGGCAAATACCACCAGAGACTACAACACATAGAGAATCCCCAATTTCACGAACTGAGCTTTAATAAGTTATTTAGATATTCCTCCAGCCTAAGGGGATCAACAATATAGAATAACAACATTAAATAGTACCTGTACAGCAAGCAACCAAGCGTCCTGTAGCAAACCTGAAAATATGCTCGAAATGCTTAAACAGCCAGGCCTCCACTGTTGGCATAACTTACTGTTCTTTTCATCCAACATGGCATTGTGCCAAACATGAGCAAGTGCTGCTAGGGTAAAATCCCAGCTCTACTACCTACAAAAAATTTCATTGATTTAATAAAAGAGATAACTGAGAAACCACCTTGTTTAACAAAACAAACAACAAATATCTATAATGCGGCGAGCAAAAGGCAAACAAACAATACATAAAGTCTCATTTTCCATATTCAATGACTATTTATACTTTTGTGGTCCTGTTCAAAATAATGACTAATCCCAAAGTTTCATACTCAACAATGTTCTATTTGCAGTTTGCCATCATATTATGGGTAGAAATTAAATCCCAAGTCAACTAAAATATCAATGTCTTGAGATGCAATTCATATCATCTATGAATCTCTCTCTCTCTCTCACACTCTCTTTCTCTTAAACACACACCTTCTCCCCCTCCCACCAAACAAACACAGAAGAAATAAAAAACTGACTAAAAGAGGCAGAAATATGAACATCTACCCAAATTAGACCAAATTCAAGGTGAACAGAAACAAAAAAGAAAGATCTAGTATTAAAAAGTTATGAACCTTCTAATGAATCCTCTAAGCATAAAACCCAAATGCAATAAATCAACATGTTTTCCATTTGTCAACCAACCTTTCTTTTTTTCCTTGAGGAAGTTGACTTTTGTATTGATTGTATAGAGAATTACAAACAAAAATTAGGATTTCCCCAAAAAAGGGTGCCCTATACAGGAACCCTTGAGGGTCCGAGAATCTCTGCAAAAGATCCAAAAATGAGGTGAGAGCAAAGGGGGGTCCAAATTCTCCTAGGGATAGTTGAGACTTATCCCTCCCTTGCTAGTGCATTTGCTGTTGCGTTACAGTTCCTATGAGTGTGTCTCCATAAGACTTAGATACTACTGCAAATGTGGCCAATTTCGACAAAAATGTTATCTAGTCCCCAAGGGAAAAGGGCACTGCCAGAAGCCCAAGCGATAGTGTTGCTGGAATACCCTCTACCTACACCTTTTTGCACCAAAGATGATTATATCTTTTGAGTCCTTTGAGTAGAGACTTGGCCTCAGCGAATGTGGAGTCCTCGACTCCGATAGGCATGGCATAAGAAAGGAGGATCGGGGCTTCAAAATTCTTTAAAAGGCATCCAATGGCTGAGGGGCCCGAGTTGCCTAGAGAGCAGCCATCATATGGCCCCAGGTTCCAGTGTCCTTCATAAAGAAGTTTGACGAATCCTGTGGGTACTTAGGTGCAGCAACGATTGCCAAATTTGGTGAAGATCCGAAAAGGAGAAGATGGAGAAGCTTGGGAGTTTAGGGCCCAGACTGTGACAAGTGACCTCCTTTTTTCAATAAGAGCTGAGGCAGAGGCTCTCTCCTCACTAAAGATCCTATTATTCCTCTCAATTCAAGTGGTCCAAAGAGTGGCTGAGATGGAAGCTCTCCATAGAAGATTTCTTGAAATTTTCCAAGGAGTTCTAAGGCATAAGGAGAAGAGGTGAAAGATCGATTGGGGAATGCCCCACAGCCACTTGGATAAAAGAAGAAGGTCGGTCCAAAGGGCAAGGCAACATCGCAATTTAGAAAAAGATGTTGATTGGTTTCTTCAGCTTTGAGGCACATGGTGCATCAATTAGGAAAAGGATACCCCTTTGCTGTAGTTGATCGAGTGTCGAAGCTCTTTGATGAAGTGCTATCCAAGTAAAAAGCTGGATTTTGAGGGCAAAAAGAAGCACCAAGCCTTGGTGGCTATAGAGGGAAAGGCCGAGAGAGGAGGAGAAGGCAGGGAGTATAACCTTCAGTAAAATGAAGCAACTGTGACTGAAGCCGATGGAGAGGGGGATCAGACCATCTTGTCATTGCATGTGGGAGAAAAAATATCGAATCGGGCAAGACCGAGAGATTCAAAAACTGGTGAAGCTCGTAATCAACTAAGAGTCTCTTGAAATTTGGGTTCCTAGATCTCGCATTAGGTGGACCAGTAATGCTTTCTACCACCGAAGAGGAAGGGTTACGGGTCAGACAAAAGAAACTAGCAAGGGAGTAGTAAAGCGGGTGGGGAGGAGGTGAACAAGGAATCGTGTTTCATCGTGTCTATGAGGTTGGTTCGAGTACGGCTAGTTTGAGAGCAAGCTGACTGAAACGAGTAATTGATTCAATTCTCGCTTCGTTGTTAGGGATAAGTGAGGGAGGGAGCGTGGCAAGTTCAGGCCTCCCTTCCCTTGAAAGGAGGCTAAATGACGCCCGCAAGTATTTGATTTTAGTGAGAGACCATCCAGTACCTTCACTGAGGTTCAGCCGGCGTGCTTCTTGATCTGCCATAAAGTTGTGTGTAGCCCCGGGGTCTACCATAGCCTTAAGGTTTTCCATTGATAGACACTTCCCCATTCATAAGCTCGCGTGCTTGGGGCTTGACTTTCTTCACTCTGTAGCCTAGTGAAAGAACTCTCCCTTTCCATGAAGTCAGGTGCCACTCGACTTTGTCTATAACCAGGCTCCATAATTGGATTCGATGAAGGTCAATGCAAGATGGAAGGCTAAGATAGGATGAGGGCATTGGCTCTACAACACATCCCCATGAGTCAGTGAAGCATTTGACTATGGCTTGGTCAAGGCAGATTCTTGTCATCTTAGTTTTTTCTAGGTTCACCTTAAAGTCCGTAGTCAACTTGAAGCATTGGAGGAAGAGCAATAAACAACAAACTTTTTTTAAAAATGCATTGCAAAAAAGGAGGGTATCATCGACATATTGGAGGTGGAATATAAAGAGACCCGACTTACCCACTTGGAAACCGTAAATGCGTTCCGTGCTGTACACACGAGATAGTGAGGCACTGAACACCTTAGCCACTATGGCAAATAAGAACAGTGAAAGGGGGTCCCCGTCGCGGAGCCCTCTCAAAGCATGAATGTAACCCTTAGATGAGTCATTAATAAGGTCCAAAAATTGGGGTTTTGAAATACACCCTTGGATCCATCTTCACCATAGAGAGCCAAATGGCATTCTGGACAAAGTCTCATCAACTCAAGCTTTTTGATTACCAAGCCTGGGATTTTTGCACTCGTGTGCTGTTAGAGCACCATCGAGAATCTGGCGTTCCCTCACAAAGGTCCCTTGGGACGATAAGATCACCTGACCAAGGACACGTTTAAGGCGGGAAGCCAAGCCTTCTAGAGAATTTTGTAGGAAGTATTAATCAGACTAATGGGTTTGAAGTCTTTAAGCTCTTTTGCTCCCTCTTTCTTACGGATCTTGGCAATGAAAGTGGCATTCATCGCCTTATGGATAGTAGCTGGGGAGTGAAATTCAGAAAAGAAAGCCATGGTATCAGTCTTAAGGTTATCCCAAAAGATTTTGAAGAGGGCCATGGGGAAGCTGTCAGAGCTTCAATGGCTTGGAATACTTTGTATTCCTAAAAAAAGCTTTCCAAAGAGGCTGCACATTCGTGAGAAATAGAAGAGAAGGAGAAGTCCGCCATTACTGGTCTAGGACCAGAAGGGGAAGAGAAAAGCTTGGAAAAAGATTCGACAGCCACTGCCTCATGAGATTGGGATGGTCAACAATTTGGTTCCCCACTTTGAAGTGGGAAATAGAGTTCTCCCTTCTTCGACAGTTGGCTATCTTGTGGAAGTAAGTTGTATTTTGGTTTCCAAGCTTGAGCCAATTGACTGTGGCCCATTGAGCCAATAAATTTATTCTTTCTTTAGGAGGAACTGGTAATCATGTTCGTGGATGGATCGAGAATCCAGCTGAAGGGGAGGGAGGTCTAAGTTCTTCAATGGAGTCTCAATGTTAAATAGACCTCAAAAGGGAGTCTTTTTGGTACTTGAAGTTTCCAGGGAGCTGTGAACTCCATGATTTCAGGAAAACTTTGAGCATTTGGAGCTTTTTCTACTAGACAAAACCGGCCCACCCATTCACTAGGGGGGAGAAGGACTCCCAATGGTTATGGACAGGAGTGGGGAAGCTGGGCTCTTAGAGCCAAGACAGCTCAAAGCGAAAAGGCTTAGGCTCTGGAGGAATGGACAAGGTATCTAGATGGATAGGTTCATGATTTGAGGCGGGCTTGGGAAGCACCAGAGTGTGGGTGCTAGGGAACTCATGATCCCACTCGAGAGGGGTTAGAAATCTATCTAAATTTGAGAGGCTTGGATTAGTCGAAGGACTAGACCAACTGAACTCCGCTCTTTCCAACAAGATGTCTAGAAGATTGTTATGAGACTATCTAATGATATTAAAACGGTGGCAACAAGGTTGGGACATTGGGGGAGAGAAGAGGAGGAGATGAATTCATAGGAAAATGGTGAGGTGGACTAATGAGGTTAGGGGAGGGCATACAAAGAGGGGGTGCAGGAGGAAGGGGTTGCAAGCCTAGGATTGCATAGAGAAAGGGTGGAGAGAGAGGGGAGGAAATGGTGATAAAGGGTTACAAGATTATTTATAATGGAAAATACCTCCAAAGATTGCAATACACAAAGAATTCCCAAATTTCACGAACTGAGCTTTAATCAGTTATTAGATATTCTTCCAGCCTAAGGGGATCAACAACATAGAATGACAATGATAAATAGTACCTGTACAGCAAGCAACCCAGTCTCTTGTAGCAAAGCTGAAATGCTTGAACAGCCAGGCCTCCACTGCTGGCATAACTTATTGTTCTTTTCATCCAACGTGGCATTGTGTCAAACATGAGCAAGTGCTGCTAAGGTAAATCCCAGCTCTACCACCAACAAAAAATTACATTGATTTAAAATAGAGATAACTGAGAAACCACCTAGTTTAACAAAACAAGCAACAAATATTTATAAAGCAGCTCGCAAAAGGCAAACAAACAGTACATAAAGCCTCATTTTCCATATTCAATGGCTATATATACATTTGTGGTCCGTGTTCAAAAAAATGACTAACCCAAAAGTTTCATACTCACAAATGTTCTATTTTCAGTTTGCCATCATATTATGGGCAGAAATCAAATCCCAAGTCAACTAAAATATAAATATCTTGAGATGCAATTCATATCATCTATGAATATCTCTCTCTCTCTCT